AGTCTCCCCTGCCTCCACCCTTCCCCTCGGACAGGCTAATCTACTCCCAGCATTTAGGCATAAGCAGGACCAAAAATCTTGAAATTATCCCTTTGTTGAAAGATGGCTAATTCTTTTTTCTCTAACAGAGATTCACTAACATCACTAACTTTCTAATCTCTATTTTACTACTTATAAAAAATGAGTGTTGCATAAATTCAACAGACATAAGATTATTATTGCTTTATGTCTCTTTGAATTTCACATATCCCCCAAGATCCCCAGAGAGCAGGCACTGGAGCAGGAATCCCCTCGTGCTTTTTTCTTACATCCTTAACTGGACTGGAAGTTCTTCAGGGCAGAGGAATCAATGAATAAAGTGAAAGCATTAACTGTAGGCAGCAGTGGCTTTAAGAGGGTTTCTTCTGAGTATATTTTTAAAAAATAAACCTTATAATTTAATTGTAATAAAGAAGATAATCTATCTATATATATAAAATCCTAATATGTAAATAGGCCAAACAGCAGAACAACCGATCACTATGATGTGCACTGACCACCAGGGGGCACAGGTGGAATGTGGCAGGTGTTAGCCATGGCGGGATGGTGGAGCAGGTGAGCAAGGATGCCAGACCAAGGCAGGGCACTGATTGCTGTCATCAGAGCGAGCCACTGGTGGTTGCTGAAAATCTTTTGCTCCTGTGCACTGCAGTCCCACCCGGTGCTCACACTCGCTACCAGCACCAGCCCTGCTCACATCTGCTGCTAGCACGAGAGCTACCACTCACACCTGCTGCTGGTACCTGGCGCCAGCCCGGATCACTTAGCACTGTCAGCAGGTGTGAGCAGCGGCTGCCGGCCCTGATTACCCCTCAGGGCTTCTCCACCTCCCCCTGCTCCTGAGGGATGATTGGGGCCTGCAACTGCCTCTTGCACCTGCTGCCAGCACCAGCCCCACTCACACCCACTGCCAGGCCCTGCTCACACCAGTTACTACCGTGTTTCTCCGAAAATAAAATATCCTCCGAAAATAAGACCTATTTACAGGTTTCCTTCTGAGTGAAATATAAGGCATCCCCCTGAAAATAAGCCCCCCCCCCCCAGGCTCTGTCTCAGAATGAAAATTAATTTACCGTAAACTGGTCGCTAGGGCCATCCCGACTGGCATCTAACAACCAGTGATGTTACTCGGAGTCCTGAGGTCACTGCTGTGTGGAGGCGGAACAGAGGTCGGAGTGAGCGGTGAGCGCGAGGCGGGAGAGAGGAGGAGACTTTCGCAGATGCGTGTAGAAGAACAGGAGGATTAGAGCAGACTGGGTGTTGCCAAGGTGCTGAGTGCTGGTCTGTCTCTGGTGACACTACCTGATGCTCGTGGCCACCCTCATGATGACTGAAGGTTCTCTGTCAGTGGCAGACCCTGCTCCAGCCCAGATCCAGGCCCCAGCAAGCTCAGTGACAGTCCCCAGGCAGGCCACAGGGGGTAAATGTCTGATAAAGGGGTAGGGAGGATGTCTGGTGAAGGTGTTCAGTGGCACAGGGGTGGGGGGAGGGGGATCACTTAAAATGACACAGGAGGATCAGAGGGGGCAATCAAAATGACACAGGAGGATCAAAAGGGGTTACTAAAAATGGTAACCCCCCCCATTCTCCTATGCTATTTTGATTCCCCCCCTCTGATCCCCCCTGTGTCATTTTAAGTGATCCCTCTCCCCCCACCTTGATACCCCAATTCCTTTTTTTTACCCCTAGAAATGAGTGCAAAAAGAAAAAGCTACTCTGTGGAGTACAAGAAAGGAATTGTGGAAGACTCTTGGGGCCAAAATCTTACTGCTTTCTGCAAAGACAAGATGTTGAGTATCCGCTTGGTCCGAAAATGGCAAGCAGAGTATGGTAATCTCATTGAACAAGTGGACAAGAAAATGCTAAAAAGCGCAAGTGTGGATCAGGTCGGCAACCATTATTTTCCGACCTGGAAGACCTGATCTGTGAATGGGTTGTTGACAGGAGAGCAAAGGCTTTGGTTGTGAATAGGGCTCAGATTCAAGAATTTGCCCTTGCAATGGCACCACAGTTTTACATAGCCCCCAAAGACTTCAAAGCATCACAACACTGGCTGGATAATTTCCTTCAGCAAAGTGAACTGTCTTTAAGAAGATCTACAATATTGTTTAGGTTGGAAGATACTCAAGTTATTAAGCGAGCACTTGCATTCAAGTTCTTTATTGATGATGCTGACTTCTCTAAATACAATCTTTTCAACATGATTGCTATAGATGAAACTGCAGTTTATGGTCCAATCATCTTAAACAACAATTGAACAGTGGGGTGCCTCCTTAGTGTACATTCCCTCCACTGCTTACAAAAGTGCACGTTTCCTGTATTTCGGCAATTCGTCTAGATGGCACTAAAATCCCACCTTTAATCATTTCTAAGGGCAAGAAGGAAAAAATTGAACGTGTTTTGGGCGTTTTTATTCTTGAACTGAAAAAGCCTGGGCCACACTAACAGTTATAAGGAAGTGGGTCAATTTAATGCTGCTGCTTGTTATGCGAGGGAGCCAAAGAGGTCTGCTAGTCTGGGATGCAGCCAGCACTCACCACACTAAAGACATGAAGACATTTCTTCACGAAAGAAAAATAGATCAGATAATGATTCCCGCAGGAATGACGGCCTATCTCCAGACTCTTGATATTGCAACAAACAAGCCAATTTGTTTATTGCAATAAGCAAAGACAATTTGCGCATGGAAATGACTACATTGAAAATAAAATGGAGAGAAATCAGCATGGAAACTTTGTGAAACCTAAACTGCAAGAAGCTGTGACTTGGGTGAAGAATTCATGGGAGAAAATCACTGACAGTTGCATTGCAAATGCACTGCGAGCAGGCTACCTTGACAAGAAGTACTCGTTTAAAGACAGTGCTATTGCTAACCATGAGAGATTTGGTCCACTGGTTCTGAAAGAAAATGAGTCACCAGAAATTCACCAGGAAATTCAGGAATTGGATTGTTATGATGATGTTCCAGAAGATGATGACATAATTGTCATTGAATAAATGAGTAAATTCTTGATACTGTAGGATTCACAGTTTGTCTGGTTTGTGTTGACAACTACCGTACTACCGTACCATATACAGGTAATAAATTTCCTTTATTTTCATTTAATAATAAATGTGTACCGTATTCTTCTTCATAGAAAAATAAGACATCCCCTGAAAATAAGACCTAGCGCATCTTTGGAGCAAAAATTAATATAAGACACTGTCTTATTTTCGGGGAAACAGGGTAGTGCCGGATCCAATCATTCAGTACCCTCAGTGTGTGGGAGTGACAGTGGTGGGAGTGGGACTGCCAGCAGACAGTGGGAGGGGCCGGGGGGGGCATGGAAGGTGGGCTGACTCACCCTTTGCCCACTGCAGCCTCTTGGCCCACAGTTCCTTTCAAGGTGCACAAATTCATGCATTGGGCCCCTAGTGTAGGAATAACACAATGTAAGTAAGCTTTATATTGTATCTGTGTTATATTTAAGAAGGCATATTTCTTTTTTTAATTTGTTGATAGTATTACAGATGTCCCCCAATCTGAGTGTATTTCTTTTATTTTTTTAATATATTTTTTATTGATTTTTTACAGAAAGGAAGAGAGAGGGATAGAGAGTTAGAAACATCGATGAGAGAGGAGCATCGATCAGTTGCCTCCTGCACATCCCCCACTGGGGATGTGCCCGCAACCAAGGTACGTGCCCTTGACCGGAATCGAACCGGGACCCTTCAGTCCGCAGGCTGACGCTCTATCCACTGAGCCAAACCGGTTTCGGCCTGAGTGTATTTCTTTATTGTTGCTTTAAAAAATTAAATACTCTTAGGCCCTGGCCAGGTGGCTGAGTTGATTGGAGCGTCATCCTGTACAGTGAAAAACGGGTTTGATTCCCAGTCAGGTCACATACACAGCTTTCAGGTTTAATCACCGGTGAAAGTGCATATGGGAGACAATCAATCAATGTTTCTCTCTCTCAAATCAATAAAAACATATCCCCAGATGAAAGTTAAAAAACAAAACACCTTAAATACTCTTAGATAGGCTACTATTCAGAAAGACATGCTGGTTAACAACTCAGGCTGCTCTGAACTCATTTTTGACAGTTATTTCACACATTAAGGAGAAATGATTGCTCAGATTTATAACTCCATAAATGCATAATCTCCCTCCTCTTTGGGTGGGGTGGGGTGAGGAATCCAGCTCCCTACACAGGCTCCTGCATGTCTGATAGCTGAATGGGTCTTAGGGCCTGCCACTGTCCAGAGAACAGCTGCCATTATGTGGTGCCACAGGGCGTGGGTCATCAGCTATTAACACGAACCTGCTCTTCCCCCGCCTCCTGTTCTGGGTGACAGTGCTCCCCGAAGCCAACCCAACACTTACTGACCCATCAGGGAAAAGCATGAGGCCAGCAAAATATCAACAAATATTCTCTCTCCTGGGAGGTAAATTTAGACATATTTTGTTCAATATGTGTTTCACTACAAATGGGACAAATAAGAAAAAAAAAAATGCAAGTCCTTCATTTAAATCTATTAGTAAAATGAAGACTCGGAAAGCAGTCAGCTTAGATTTAAACAAATGCCACATCAACAAAAGCCAACTCAGAGTTGTGAACAAAAGGAAGTTATTCTTTATTCCAGAAATAGACCTTAGCAGGTCACTGGCTTGGTGCTCATTAGGAAGAAGCAGGGCAGGGGTGTGGTCACGCACTGCTTGTTAAAGCATCTACCCCCCACACCACCACCCCCTGCCCTCCGCATCCACTGAACTGCTTAGATACTCCAACAGCCTCTAAATTGTATTCGGAGTGGAACTTTGTACATCTGTGTGACCAAAAGATGCTGTGGCATCTTCATTATATAATTTTACTGGAAAAGCAATTACACTTTGAGCAACAAAGCAAGAATCCTGTTTCAATCGTCTTAGACCAGTCCCACAAAGAACATTTAGTGCAGGCCCGGGATGCTGTCCACGGCATTCAGGCTGAATGTACTGGGGTCCCACAGTGTTTGTGCCACAAGTCGATGGCCTTGCTCACAATTGCATCTGAGCTGTCCTGAGGAATCTGTGAACAAGCAAACCAGTTTTCGTGAGGTTTCAGGGCTTATAACTTCAGCCTCTCCCTCTCTCATTGTGCATAAACTTTACTTTCAAAGGAGTTCTCACTGGTTTCTAGAAAGTGATCGCATAAAAGGCTGCTGCCGGGATCTTTGTTTCACAGGCCACCTGAGGACATGCTAGGAACTCAGATGGCCTGGCTCAAACCCTGCACAGCCCACTGAGCTGTGTGCACCTGGGCAGGTTACCTATGCTACGTGGGTTCAGATCCTATCCCTAAAACGGGGCATTTGGTAGGCCCACACCATAGGGCTGTTACAGGATTACATACAATAATCCATAAAAAACACTTAACACAGCCCTGGCACTATTAGCTATTAATTATTATAATGTGAGTAATTTATTCAACAGAGATTCATGTAGTAGTTATCATTTACCGGACCAGTGTTCAAATGGTAATACTGACTGATAAAAATAAAAGACCAGATTTGGGATCCTCCAGTGAAATTCCTCCAGGCATAGTAAGCCTCCTCACTTCTGCCTCTTACCTGGTTAAAGGTATTCTGAGATACACAGAGGGAGAAGATGATTCCTTCAGACCTTTCCCAACACACGCTAAGTTTATACTTAAGCACATTAACAAACCCAACTGGGATTCCACCAGCGACGGTAACAGAAATGAAAGGGCTTACTAAGTCCCCCAAACACCAGGACTCCTCTTCCATTAGCGAGGATGACTCACCCTAAAGTGACAGCTCTCACCCCTCCCTTTCCTCGCGGTGCCCCCCGCCCCCCTCGCCCCCAAGAGCAGCCTCACCGGGCAGAGTGCGCACAGTCACAGTGACAGTCTCGCTGCTCAGGCCGTCGTCCCCAAACAGAGGACACAAACTATAATCCACTGAACAACTGTAAGATACACGGTTTCAAGGGGAAATCTGTTGCTTATAATGTAAAAATATACTGTTATTTCCCTGAAATAATTTAATGAATAGGAAAATTTAGCTTGCTAAATAGACTTCCTTTCTGGATTCAAAATGAAATAAAATGAAACATACTTACATTTTCCAGAAACTTTGTTATCTTTTCTGAATTGTTCAGTGCCATTACTTTTAGTTTAAAGGTTAATAAAATTTCCACTGCTACAAAAACTAGGATCTTGCAGGATCCACTTACAACTTTATCCCAAACTCTACGAAAATGAAGAGATATACAATCAAATTAGGTGAGGTTAAAATTTGTTTACACAGACATCTCAAATTACAAAATTAAATCAAATCACTTTTTTAAAGTATAAGCTTCATTATAGAACCATAATGAAATCACCAAAAAACAACAAAATATATCTGTCATTTGAAAGGAACGATCACTGAGAGTATTTGCTCTGCTAGGAATTTACCCAATGCCCATTCCCTAATGCTTCACACTGAGGGCTTCAAGGAGGAAAGGGAATCCTAAACCAAAGCTTAGCTTTTACAGCATTTTGTAATGCTAATATAATCATAACACATTAAGGAAAAAACAAAAGAAGCATATGACATGAGATAAATTCAATTTCATTTTCCAGTGGTTCAAATTCCTTCAACTTCTCCAATGGCGTTTAAGGAGCTAGTTATTGATCTGCAATCACTCTAAAATAATTACTCTCATAATTCCTACAACTCTTAAAATGGGTACTGCAGTCTATGCTTAGTAGTGTATTGTCCTGTAACGCTCTCTGTGTTCCCACTCTCCGCAGTTACAGTGTAACTACCACCATGGAGGGGAAGGGCCAGGCCTCCAAAATAATCCTAACAACATGTCTGAAACCAGAGCTTTCATTAAACTTAGGACATTGTGTTTGAGTCTCAAATCTTAACTGCCTTCAGCCACTTTCACGATGTCATGATGAAACTAAAAGTAGCAACATTTTCTCTTGATTAGGACTCACCACACTCCTGAAAAAGAAAAGGCTGTGCCATTATAAACTCCTGGAGACGGTTTCAGATGTAAATCTTATACATCATCTGTCTTATTGAAGGCCCTCAATTTTTATAATTGTATACTGTATTCTAATATTTATAATAAATTTGTTACTATTAAATTAAAATTAATATTACTATTATATATATATAACAAACAGAATCATGTGTTATTATGTTAGCTACTAGAGAAGTTAGCTTTATATTACTGTGTTGTTCTAGAGCAAATTTATATTGTGAGGGATAATCACATAAAAACCAGGATTCTTCTCCGACTCCAGCTTCAGTACATTTGAAAGAAAAACTTGCCTTTGTAAACTGGATTCGGGCAAGCACCCCGCGAAGCACCTCTTGAACCAGAGATCATAAGGCAGCCTGGACACTGCAGAACACATCTTCAGGTGACTCAGCAGCCTGCTGTCCTCCAGATTCAAGTACTGTTCAAAAGCCTTTGGCTGGTGATGAAAAAGGAAGAGATTACTCACTTCCCATGACATAACATTACCCCCTCTTACAGCCTATAAAGAAAAAATGTACATAATGAATGCAAGGAAGTGCTAGGAACCAAACTTCAGAATTATCTAAGTCGCTGGTGACGCAGCACTTCCCAAGTTAGCATATCCGGAGCCACTACCCCTCGGACTGAGGGGTTTCCCAGGACAGTCCCAGGCAAGTGAACAGCGGGTCACCCTAATGTTAACTGCCCTACCAGTGGTTGGCAAACTCATTAGTCAACAGAGCCAAATATCAACAGTTCAACGATGGAAATTTCTTTTGAGAGACAAATTTTTTAAACTTAAACTTCTTCTAATGCCACTTCTTCAAAATAGACTCACCCAGGCCATGCTATTTTGTGGAAGAGCCACACTCAAGAGGCCAAAGAGCCGCATGTGGCTCGCAAGCCACAGTTTGCTAACCACGGCCCTAACCAGATTCAACGACCTAAGGCAAAAGTCCAAAGCAAAATTCAATTGTCCTGGGGAGATTAGAAAGGCCCCAGATATTCCTGGCTGCTCTAGGGAAGGCGGGAGAAGGAGAGAGAGGACCAGAGAAATAGAAAGGGAATGACGTGGGAGCAAGAACTAGGAAGGATCAGAAAAAAAGCTGGAGGTGAAAGGGCCTATGGGTCACTGACCACACATGTGCTGAGCGCCACTGCGCACCAGCCACCAGGAATGTCCAGAGGAGGAGCTCTGTACCCAACAAAAAGTGCGTGAGAACTCTGTCATCAGAGGAATACCGCAGGGGAAACACAGTGCCTGCTAGCCTCTCCCACATAAGGCTGAGCAGCAGCCAACTCTATGGAGAGGCTAACAAAGCCGGCTCCCCGGACCAGGCCCCACCGCTGGCCCACGCTGCTCCATTTAAGGGCCACTGGCTACAAATGGGCTGAAGGGCTAAACCCTAATGTTTGTACTCCCTATCTGAAAAAGCACCACCTTATCACCAGGTGCATGCAAAGGTTTATTGTACTAAACACATGCATCTCTATGCTTCTGCCAAAGTGGTGACTCAAAACCCTGCTGTGTCCATTATAACCAGACACTGCTACGTACAGGGAATAAAAGAAAAGATAAGGTCATGTCCCTGCCTTCGAGGAGCTTATGGAGCCCAGGAAAGCGGTAACTGGAACATACTTAATAAAGCTATGATGGGGATAACCAGACGATGTGGGCACACCCAACTGGGAATCCTGACCCCGGCTTTAGGTGGCCCACAGAATGCACAGGAGCTCACCCAGTGGGCCTGCGCATTAACATCTGGTCCAGTTCTCCCCTCTCTCGTTCAGAGGATCTCTAACCTTTTCTATTTATCTACCTTACCTCTCCTACTTAACATTTCCTAGAGCTTCTCAAGAACACCCCACACAGCTCCCCAAACCAGGAGCTTTTCTAAGTACAAATTTCCAGAGGGCTCCTGCTCTAGCCTTTCACCTCTGAAACTCTATTCTAGAATTCTGGTAGGTCCTGCCAGTGACATGAAGGTGGGCTTTTTCCATGAAGTGACATGGGTGAAAACACACACACAAACACATTTATATATTACACCTCACAGCAAAGAAAATTTCTTCCAAAAGGCAATACAAATAACAAAAATATAGATTAATAAAGATCTAAAACTATTTATTGTCTTTTTCCTTATCAGACTATAAGCTCAGTGAGGGCAGGGGCTGTCTCTGTTTTGCTCACTAGTGAAGTAACATATGCATTTCCCTTGGATCAGTCAATCCATTTCTAGGGAATCTATCCCAAAAGTATACTGGCAGATATATGAGAAGATGTACACACAAAACTATATTATCTATAACAGCAGTCACCAACCTTCTGGACCTCACGGACCACCGTAATCCCAGACTGCAGGTTGCCAAACAATGATCTATAACATGGTATCATAGTAAAAGACAGGGAACATCCCAAATAGCCAATATTAGAGAATGGGTTGAATAAACAAGCATATATACACACAATGGAGTAGTATGCAGCCATGAAAAGGAATAAGGAATGTCTCTATACTATTATGGCATGATTTCCTGTATATATCAAGTGAAAACAGCAAGATGAAAATGGGTAACATGCGCTACTGCTAATTCTAAGACGGTGAACAGAAATTATATATCTGTATGCTTTTTAGTGGAAGGAGATAACGTTCATATTATCTGAAATTTTAGTACTTAGCAAATGGTAGGTGTGATTATTATATTTTACATATAATAGGTTTCGGTTATTTACAATGTTTCTTTGACCCTAAATTCTTAGTTTATGGAGAAAATAAAGCATACCTCATCAACAGAAAGCAAAACTTGACCAAACAGAGACCAAATCCCTGAGAGGGATTTATATTAACTTAGATACCTACCTACCCATCTACCCAACCATACATTCATCCACTCACTCATTCATCTGTTCATCTAGCAGCTACTCAGTGAGCCTCTTCTGTATGCTTAGGGCCCATGCCAGACACTTGGGTTGCAGCACAAGCTAAGACAGTTTTCCCACTTTCATCTGTGTGTGAATTCTTGTAATATAAATGTGGAGACATAAAGCATTAAAGCAAGTCAAAGGTTTCAGTGAACAAGTTTCAGCAGTTCAACTTTATAATAATATAAGTAAACCTGTCAAATTTTTTTGCATAATGCCAGCATTTGGATTTAAAAAAAAAAAAAAAAAGTAAATTTCTTACTGAGGGCAACTAAAAAAAAAGTTTTTTTTAATCTTGAGGTTAGAAAGAGCTTCCTAAATAAGATACAAATAAACAAGAGAAAAATATTGACAAATCCAATTGTATCAAAACTTAAAATCTTTGTGCAACAGTCAGTGACAAAATATTTTCAACACGTGTAACGGACAAAGGATAAACATCCAGAGTTATCGTTAACTCTTACAAAGGAAAAAGGACCCAAACAATGTAATAAAAAAGGTAGATAAAAATGACCAGTAGATATTTAAAGCTGCTCAACTTCACTAGAAAATGAAGATATGCAAATTAAAATGGGTACCATTTCACTATCAGATTAACAAAAATTTAAAAGACAGATACTATCAAGTACTGTCAATGGAGTGGAAAACAGGAAATCTCATAATCTCTTGGAGAAAGCAAAATTGGTCTGGTGAGCAACCTGGCAGTTAAAATTTTAAATGTATGCCAGGACCGGTTTGGTTCAATGAATAGAGCGTCGGCTTGGGGACTGAAGGGTCCCGGGTTCGATTCCGGTCAAGGGCATGTACCTTGGTTGTGGGCACATCCCCAGTAGGAGGTGTGCAAGAGGCAGCTGATCGATGACTCTCTCTCATCAATGTTTCTAACTCTCTCTCCTTTCCTCTCTGTATAAAATCAATAAAATATATTTTTTAAAAATAATAATAATAAAATAAAATAAAATAAAATAAAATTTTAGGTGTGTCTCTCCTTCAAATGCATGCTCCCCTTATAGGTAACCCATCCTAGAGAAACACGCACAGACTTACACAAAGGAACATGGACAAGGGCATGTTGAAGGTCAGCATGGACTTCTTATGGTAAATTATGGCAAATTCTTAACAAGAAATACTAGAAGGAAATGAAAAAACACTGGTTCTAAATGAGTAGCTCTCAACCTGAGCCAAACTTCAGAAACACCTGGAGTTTTTGAAAAATTACAATTCTGGGGCCCCACCCCCATAGATTCTGGCTTAATTGGTCTGCATAGAGGAAATTTTTAAAAGCTCCCATACGGTACTAATAGGAATTCAGAGCTGAAAACTGCTGATCTATCTGTACTATCTTGGAAAGCATCCAAGACATTAAATTAAAAATAAAGAGCAGGGGCTTGGCCCACATGTGGCTGAGTTGGCTGAGCGTCATCCCAGGCACCAAGAGATCGTAGGTTCAATTATCTGTCAGAGCACATGCCTGGGTTGAGGCCTCGATCCCCAGTAGGAGGCATTCAGGAGACAGCTGACATGTTACCCTCTCATATCAATGTTTCTCTCTCTCTCTTTCCCTTCCTCTGTTGCTAAAAATCAATAAAAATATTACTTAAATAAATAAATTGCAGGGTTATATGAGCAATGTGTAATATTTATGTTTTTACAAATATTTATATATGTAAAAATATATATCATGTGTGTATATGCACACGTGCTCACATACACACATCCATCCTAATATACATAAAATAGTGTAGAAGCATTCACATAAAACTGATGACAGGGTTTTCTTCTTAGAAAATGGGGGATGAGGAGGTATTGTGTCACACATCTATGGGAACACAGGATTCATATGGATTGTTTAATACCTCAAGAATATATTTGTCTGCTACTTATGTTGTTATAAAAAATAAAGATGAATTTTTAAAAAGAACCTTTCAAAATGTTACTGAATTTACTCCAATAATAAAAAGGCTAATTAAATCATAGGATAATTTAGACATCTTGATTTAATGAGGCAACATTATATTTACAGATGCTCCAATGCCATGCTTAAATTATTTTCATTGTAATAAACTAAATGAATTAAATTTTAAGATTCTAAAAATCATATCTGACTTAATTTAAACATTTAAAACCCTCTCTGGTACACTGCTCTCCAAAGCTGAAGGCGTGGCCGGCTGCCCGGCTGACTGACTCAGTTGGAGCCGTGAGCCACAGGGCTCATCCGCGGTGCCCTTCCTCAGCCCTACAACCCAAGTCTCAGTTGCTGCTTCAACAGAACTTTCAAATAAAACAACTCAATTAAAAAAAAAAAAGACAGATTCGTTTTTATAATGAGAGAAATAAGGAAAGAAAAGACAAAGAGAATGGCAAAGACCCACTGGCTTATGCGGATGAAGTAAATGCCATTCGGTTCTCTGGATTCCCAAGTGAGAGTACAGCAGACAGAATCCTGTGTTAATGGGAGGTCCCAGTGTGCCCGGTTAAATAAAAGCACATTCCCCAGCCTCCGCTGCAGACGGGGACGGACAACGCCGTCCTCCACTGACTGCCATGCAGCAGGAAAGTCTGTTACATAAGGACAGGCCTGACTGCCTTGCCCCTTGTGTTCCTGTGCTTTTTTCTTCAATTAGCCCTTGTTGCCTGTCTAGATGTTAGCACTGTCTCTATGGCATCCACCTGGTGAGACCAAGAGGAAGGATCGCACCTGAGCACCTGCAGTAGGCAGAAGCCTGGGTCCCTGCTGAGACCGTGGTGCTGGGGCTCCAGCTCTGAACCGCTTTGCCTCTGGACTTCTAGTTACAGGAAAGAAAACATAAGGCTTCTGTTTTGGGGTCTGCCTATCATGTGCAGCCAAACTTAAACCTTACCTCATACAGAGGGGAAAAATCTAGATTAAGCCAGTGGATTCTAGACCAGCATAAGGAATACTATAGAGCAGGAATTGGCAAATGTGACCTGCAGCAGCCAAATCCAGCCATGACCTTTCCTTTATGTGGTGTCCACAGCTGCTTCTGTGTGACAACAGCAGAGCTGAATAACTGCAATAGAGACACAGAAACCACCTTGCTCACCAAGCTGGAAAGCATTACTACCTGGCCTTTTACATAAAACACGTGCTGACTCCTACTAGAGGGGGGGTCTACTCCTAATTGGAGCAGTACCAAGAGATTAGAGTATTTCCCTAAGATTCCCAGTACCACTGCTCACCCCCTCCCCTCCCCTCCACTCCTCTCCCCTCCCCTTCCAACCAACAGCCAAAAAAGCGACCCTCACCAGCTGGGGTAGGGAGTCCCGGTACTTGTTGTTCAACTGGTTCACAAAGCCTCGGGTGATCCAGTAACAGTCGACACTATCTTCCACCATCTCTTCCATGGCCTTAGCAATGGCAAGAAACACTTCATCTTCTGGCTTCTGAAAGATTAATAATAAATCTCAAGAGGGAGGGAGCAGAGAGGAATAAATATTTTTTGATAAAAATGAAAATTTACCCCCTAAACTTTGAAGAGGATACATTAACAAGTCAAAATGGAAAAAGCACCCAGTCCTTCACTAAGGAGAGGAGCACGGAGGAGGTGAGAATGAACCACCACAGAAATCTATGGAAACGCGTGCTAGTGCCCAGGTTCATGCTGCACTCGGAGGTTTTCCAGCTTCTAAGGCCAAGGTGTCCATAAAAGCATCCATCAGCACACGCCAGAAGGTGCTGATTTTCTCCACCCAAAAACATTCTCGGTGCTGAGGAGCATTTCTTTCAAAACCATGTGATACACAGCACACATAATAACTGGAGACATTTGCCAATAATGCAATTTCCAAAACTAACTGGCTTGGAAAGGACGAAGAAAGCATTTTCTTTATTTCAAACTGTTCATCTAGACCTTTAGAACTTTGTTCTATCTTTAAGCACCTAAAACGCTAAATGTCCCTCGAATCAGCATGTTAAGATTCAGAAGAATAGCATTTCTCAAACTTTCATGTCAAGACTCATAACATGAAAGTAAACCCTCAAGGAAACTTCAACAAAGAAATCTTATAAACAGTTTTCTGTTGAAAACCTGTCAAAATTTTGTTTCCAAACACCATATCTTACATGAAAATAGATTTTCATCTAGGATTTAAGAGCTCAGTGATTTTAATGTTAAAAAAGAAACTAAACGTATCGTTCTATTCTCCTAAGAAGTTCCAAGTTAAATCAAAATTCCTATTCTAACAAAAATACTTAATTTTAGGCCTTCTTTCAACCTATTAATATTCTATAAAATGTCAAGTAACAGAACTGTAGAAAATGTATTTTTCTAAACATTAACTAGTTTGTCAGAGGAAGAAAAGGGAGGAAGCCCCTTTCTTGGACTAGCCCTGTGCACCGGGCACAGGGCTTGGTGCTCCTGACTGTGGCCAGGGAAGAGGACCGACATTCTAACTGACGTACTACCAGCCCTGTGCCAAGCAGGGAATGTCACACATTCCCATTAATGGGTAAAGAAAATGAGGCTGAGAGGGGCTTGGTGACCAGGGAAACGTGGCAAAAAGCCCAACACAAACACTCACAGGACATCTGCCCGAGATGCAGTAGCGGTGTCTGGGCTTGAAGAATGGACATGCCGAGCAGGGAGGAGGTGACAACCATAACCTATGACTCTTTTTTTTTTTTTTAAGAAAAACGTTTTAAAATATAATACTGTTACATGCAATAAAATTAATATTCAAGAAAAAAATTATTACCAAAACTGTACTAACATAATATTAACCTATCATTCTTGAACTAATAAATAATCTAAGCTACTTTGACATATATTTTAAGAACTTGTGCAGTACTACCAACTTCACTTTGCCGAAGATAAGCAAAATTTAAAGAAATGTGTTAAGAGTTTATTTCCAATTATTTCCAGGGTCATTCTCTTGATATACTTAATAAAGATGGTGATCTATGGGCAGCCATGGAAACTATTAACTTCAAAAAAGAAAAAACAATTCAAAGCTCAAACCACTATAGTGGCAGCTTGCAATCTGCATGCAATAAAAGAATAAATTTTATAGATGGTTCAGCTTGCAGGCAAGTCCCTATTTTGAACAATTCCCCCCCAAATTGTTAAAGTGCCTAAAATAAATTGCAAATTGCATTAAAATAGCCAAAGCTCAAGACCTATAATCATTCCTTTGCCTGAACTCTTCCTCCTCCCCATCTCTTCCCTTTTCAGACAAGTAGTCCAAGTAACTAGAGTAAGGAGTTTATCAAAGAAGAAGTTTACCAAGCAGGTTGGAGTCTGTGGAGCTGAGGCCGAGGAGTGTCAGGGCCAAGAGGTGGCTGGCAGAGTTAGTTACAGAGGAATAAGCAAAGAAGTAAGCACACTGGGGGTATTTGCAACTGTCAGAGGAAGAATTTATAAGACAGAAAGGGTAAGGGCAAGAATAAACTTTATAATGGGTTGTATTTGGAAGTATTAGTATGAACTCAGGGTTTTCAGTATATTGAGATAAATACATACATACACAGGTTTGTGTGTATGTGTATGTGACTGTGTGTGTACACATATATTTCCTTGCACCTGCTGAGAGAGCCTAGAAGCAATGATACACTACGAACAATGAATGAGTATATCTAGTGCCCTATTTCTTGTTTCTAAATGCCACACTCCATGGGGGGGGGGGGGGGGGGAGTGGCAGATTCCAGGTCCAACACAGGGAAAGCACAAGATGAACCTGGAATATATTTTTGTACCAGAAGGTAAGAAAATGCTCAAAATGATGGTGACTTGTCAAAAAGACATAAAAGTATACTGATATAAATAAACAAACAAGGGAGAGGGGGAAACCTTCCTTATAAATGCAAAAGGAATAAAAGAGTCAGAAAATCATTATTTGGCAATCAGCAAAAATTGTTTCAAGCAAAAATCATTATCGGTTAGATATCAACATAGTATGAAACTTTCTCCCCAGAAGTTACTTATTAATCAATAAAAATAGTAACTTTACATTGAAGAAAGCTGGCAGACACCACCTTAACCAAGTGATCAAAGTTAGCAGCAACAGTACTAAGTATCATACTCCTGCCAAAAATGCAAAACCAGATTTTAATCATGAGGAAACCTCAGACAAACCCAAACTGAGCAATGCTCTGCTGCCCAGTACTCTTAAAAAATGTCAAGGTACTGAAAGTTTGTACAAAGAAAGACAGAGGAACTGTCCCAAACAGGATCCAGGGCCAGAAGAAGGACATCAGTGGGACAATCAGCACAATGTCAGTAATACCCACACCAAAGAGTTCACAATGTTGTGTCAATGCTAATTTTCTGGTTTTGACAATTATACTACAGTATGTGAAATGTAACATTTGAAGTGATAGATGAAGGTATATGGGAACACTAGACTATTTTTGCAACTTTTTTCTATGTTTAAAATGATTTCTAAATGAATAGTTAAAACATTAAGAATTTTGGAATTAACAAATCATAAAATTAGTGGGTAAAAGTTTGATGGAAAGTTTGAAAAGGTTCTGAATTAAAACTTTTACTGTTTGTTTTAATAAAGGGCATTACTGGAACACTAGGTTAAATGTTAATGAAGTATGAAGATTAGATATTTATGTTGTATCATTGTCAACTTCTTGGTTAGCTAGGGAAATGGTCTTATCTTTAGGAAGTATACACTGAAGGAATCTGAAGTAATGCAATATAATGTCTGCATCTTATTCTCAAACTAAAGGCCCAGTGCATGAATTCATGTACGGGTGAGGTCTGGCTGGCCTGCCCCAATTGGGGTGGAGGGTGGATGGTAGGGGCTGATCAGGGGTGAGGCAGGCCACAGGAGAGGCTGCAGTTACCCCCCCCCCCTTGTTGAACTCCCAGTTAAACTTGCAGTTGAAGGGACAATTTGCATATTAGCCTTTTATTATATAGGATGGTTTCAAAAAAATATCCTATATAATAAAAGGCTAATATGCAAATCAACCAAGCAGCAGAACAACCAGTTACTATGACGCACACTGACCACCAGGGGGCAGACGCTCAACACAGGAGCTACCCCCTGGTCATCAGTGCGCTCCCACAAGGGGAGTGCACTCAGCCAGAAGCCCTGAGCCAGCTCACAGCTGGTGAGCACAGCAGTGGTGGTGGGAGCCTCTCACATCTCTGCAGCAGTGCTGAGGATGTCAGACTGCTGACTTACAGACTGCTGACTGCAATAAGGAGCGGGCCTAAGTCGGCAGTCTGACATCCCCCAGCGGCTCCTGGACTGCACTGGCCCTCTAGTGTATACATATATAGGAAAAATGACAAAGCATTTGTTCAAAATTATAGAACTAGGAAACATGGGTAAAGAGTATATAGGGATTCTTGACAGTATTCTTGCAACTTTTCTATAAATTTGAAATTACTTCAAAATAAAATGTAGTATTTGAAATAATTAGGCAGATGTGGTCAGATGAATGTCGGCGAAAGATGTGTTGCTTTTATTCTATAGACAAAGGGGAGCCATTGAAAGTTTCTAAGGCAAAACATGATGCAATCAAAGGCTAGAGAGATGCGACAGTGTAGAGTTGAGCTAAGTGTCGAACAAAAGTATCACTAACCAGGGGGAAGGAGGGACTTCGAGGCAATTTTCCAGACTCCAGCTGATACATGCGGAGATAGACTTCAACCTGAGGTGTGGCATCATTGACAAAACGAACGACTTTCAGGGCATGAAGAACATCCGAGTACTGCCCCTTACGATACATCATCACCTGGGCGTGGGACTCATGGTGTGGAGGCAGGATCCCTACAGAGAGACCCAGAAAAATAAAGGACAAAATACTGAGACATCAATCCAAATCCCTCCTCCATTAAAGAGAATCCTGGAAGAAGTCGCCCATCAAAATTAAACTAAAGCTCACATAATATTTACCATATAGATTCTCATTAGAAATTTTCACTATAAAGAAATTTTAAATAACCTCAATATTTGAATGGCAACTGTATCATTGATATAAAAGAGAAATGAAATGGCATCATAAAGCCCTTGAATAAGTATGTCATCAAAGATAATAACCATATCAATGATACTGATTTAATTCAATTATGGCTGCCAGCCTGGGGCCACCCTGAGCTCCTGGAGGCCCATGTCCAGTTTTCCCACTTGGCCCATGCTATGGACTGGCTTGTGTCCCCTCAAATTCATATGTGAAAGCCCTAATCCCCAACGTGACTATATTTGGAATTAGGGCCTATAAGAAGATAAAGTTAAATGAGGTTACAAGGGTAGAGCCCTAATCAAATAGGGCTGGTGCCTTCGAAGGAAAGAAAGAAATGCGAGTGCTCTTATGCTGTCCTGTGAAGACACAGTGACGTGGGATGAAAGTTTCTCCCCGGTGTTCCATGTCACAGGTGGCCATCGGAAGTCAGGAAGTGAGGCTTCACCAGGAATCAAATCAGCTAGCACGTTGATCTTGGACTTTCCCAGACTCCAAAATCATGGAAATATAAATTGTTTAAGCCACCCAGTCTGTAGTATTCTGTTATGGCAGCACTAGTTGACAATATAGCCCCCTTCATCTCAGAACCACCAATTACCCATCAAATCCTTCTCTCCCCAACAATTAAAACTTGGATTGTAAGAGGAATGTCCAACCGGGCCTAAACCGGCAGTCGGACATCTCCCAAGGGTTCCGGATTGGAGCGGGTACAGGCTGGGCTAAGGAGACCCCCACTCTGTGCATGAATTTCGTGTACCGGGCCTCTAGTCTATATACATAAAGCACTTGGAAAGTACACAGTTGTCGTGATGAATAAAAAAGCTATATACATAAAGCACTTAGAAAGTACTTCTAACTATAGATCACTCTTTGGTACAAAACGCCACTCATCCAGTTTTCTAAAGAACATTCTGAGAAACAAAAGTTGGATGCGCTTTAAGGACTCTAGCTAACATGATGCTATGTAATGCTACAACCAAACTTGCTTAAATGTTCTTTTTTCCTGACATAAATCTTTATTTACCTTAGCTATCAGGCTCTGTGCCAGGCTTCCAGAAAAGCCAGAAAAATACGCTAAAATGTCCTCCAAATTTAGACTAAGATAGTACAGATTAAATAGGTGTAATTAAATTCTTATACTACTAGAGGCAGCACAATGTTCCATGTCAAACCTCGCATTTGTTTTCTAAGACCTAGTCCTAGAAGTCTTTTTCTGATATTAGGTCTAGTAATAATTAATGTCGTTTTCTAATACTTTTTTAAATCGAATTTATCTAAACAATACAACAAAATTTAATCAACAATATAGTTGCCGTTGTTTTCTACTACTTGTGCCCAACGCTCAGGAAGCATTTTAATCCCTCTGTTGTAAAATTCTTGTGATTTTGATGCAAAAAATTTGGTCAATGCATTTTTGAGGCATTCTTCATTATTAAATTTTTTTCCAAGAAGAAAGTTTTGCAAAGAACGAAACAAATGGTAATCGGAAGGGGCAATATCAGGAGAATATGCAGGTTGAGGGAAACTTCCCATTCCAACTGGCGCAGTTTTTCAGCAGTGATTCTTGCAGTATGTGGTCGAGCGTTATCGTGGTGAAGAATTACGCCCTTCCGATTAATCAGCGCGGGTTCTTTTTCTCTTAAAGCTTGGGCTAACCTTTCCAATTGGGCACTAGACACTGCACTTGTAATGGTTTGGTTAGATGGTAAAAGTTCATAATGAAGAATTCCTTTAAAATTCCACCAAACACACAACATCACTTTTTTCGCATGCAAGTCAGGTTTTGGCGTGGGCTGCGGAGCCTCATTTTTGTCCAACCATTGAGGCCGCCTTTTCAAATGAACATACAGCACCCATTTTTCATCTCCGGTAACAATTTGCTCTAAAAACGGCAAACGGTTTTGACGAGAGAGGAGCGAACTGCAAATTGTGACTCTTTGATTACGGTTGTTGTCGGTCAACTCATGAGGAACCCATTTTCCAAACTTTTGGACTTTGCCAAGTGCACGCAATTGATTGGAAATTGTTTTTTGTGAACAATTTAAAGTTGTCGCAAGCTCTTGTTGGGTAATTTGAGGATTTTGCACCAAAAGAGCTTGAAGAGCTTCTTGATCAAAATTGGACACAGGGCCTCGACCACTCTTGTCATCTAACGAAAAATTTCCCTCGCGAAATTTCTCAAACCAACACTGGCATTTTCTGGCGCTAACTGCATCTTGACCAAGAGCACTACAGATGTTTTTTGCAGCCTCACTTGCTTTTCTTCCTAATTGGAACTCGTAAAGCATGCAGTGCCGAATATGCTCTTCATCCGCCATCTTCTTAGCCCTAGTTTTGCAACAAAAAACAAACCAAACACAAACTTTTTCAAGCAAAACTTGTTAATTGCACTTCACACGTTCTGTAGATACCACGTGTTTGAAGGTTATGTCAATACAAGTCAACGCCAAGCAAGATTTTAAACAAATGTTTAAAACGACATTAATTATTACTAGACCCGATATTTATCTAAAACAATATCATGAAGTGGGCATGACAAGGTCCCTGAGTAATCCACAGCCTAATTAGGAAGAGTCAGCCTGTCTCTTACTCACTGTGGTAGCCCTAAACCTCCAGTGCCTCTACCGCAAAAATAACAACAAAGATTTACCTGAGAAAGACAGGTGGGGAAACACAGGTGAGGAATAAGCCAGATAGCCTGGCCCTCGGAAAGTGTCACAAAGTACAACTGTGCCTCTCCCATTAATCCACTGGCATTATTAGTTAATAGGACACATAGTATTTCCCAACAGAAATAGGTAATATCTGCAATGCCACCTAAAAAGCAGCCTTATTTGGATGACTATTGGAAACATTAAGAAAAATGCTGGGGGGAGGGGAGGAACTAAAATAACTCACTAATTTTCTAGATTTCAACTACACAGCGACCTACTAGAAATATAAGTACAAAGACGCATAACCAAAGTCATTATGCAGTGCTTTCTGAAATGGTTTGTAGTCAGACTTAGAATTGCCAAGGCCCGAAAATATTGATACAGTACATTTTGTAAAGACAAGGTCTGTAATCTATCCTACCTTCATATGGGCTCTACACACCTGAGTTCAAAACCTAGCCTTGCCACTGACAGGCTATGAGGCCTTAGACTAGTTATTTAGCCTCACAATCTTTTTCCCCATGTGCAAAATCGGGATATTGATACTTAACTCACAGGGAAATTCTAGGATTACTCTAATTTAAAAAATATATATTTTATTGATTTTTTTACAGAGAGTAAGAGAGAGGGATAGAGAGTTAGAAACATCGATGAGAGAGAATCATCGACCAGCTGCCTCTTGCACACCCCCCACTGGGGATGTGCCTGCAACAAAGGTACATGTCCTTGACCGGAATCAAACCCAGGATGCTATCCACTGAGCCAAACTGGTTTCAGCAGTCTATTTTTTTTTTTTTTTTTTTTTTTTTTTAAGAATAGTCCGCTGATTTAGAGAGAAAGAGAGGGACATCGATGTGAGAGGGTGACACTGATCACTTGCCTCCCGCACGCCCTGAACTGAGGATCCAGCCAGCAACCCATACATGCGCCCTGGCTAGGAATCAAACCTGCAACCTCCTGGTGCATAGGACAACACCTAACCAACTGAGCCACACAGGGCAGGGCAAATTTTTTTTTCTTTTTTAAGAAAGAAAAGGAGGGTGGTATATTATATATTCAGCAGGCTCAGCAATTAAAGAAAGAAAAAAAGACTTTGGCTAAAAGGGATAACGTCAGTCACTTGTGGAACCTGATATATTTTTCTTCCAAACTGAGCAAGGTCCCTTTTCCTTTTTAGCCACTCACCACTGGAATTGAATTCATTTGGGCTTCTAATGAGTACACATCTGTGGCTAGAAATTACAGGAATGATGAATTGAGAGCTAAAACCGAAAAGTCAATTTAGCAAAAAATGAGGCCTAGCTAAGTCTTCCTCAAGGTTACCCAGTTGACAGTAAAGCCCAGACCAGTTATTTCTCCCCGTACAATGCTCTCCCCACACCTTGTCTTGGGAAAATACTTTACTTTCCCTTCTATCATTAATAAACTGACCTTCAGGAGTAACATTTAATGTTTTCCCACTGAAGCCACCTCCTAAAGGTAATCATAGTGAGCAGGATCTCAGTCTCCTGAGATTGGGCCCAATATTCAGTAACTCTCCCTTTTCCTGGCTGATACAATGACAAATGAACATTTTTGAAGATAAATTTCCAACTCTTGGTCTCATACCTAGAAGCACCTTCCACACCAATGCACGGTACATGGACGGGAGAGGAAACCTTTGACTAAAAGTACAAAGTTTCTCAATATCTAAAGGAGGAAAAAACACAATAGTTAGAAGCTTTCTGTGCATTTCATTGTTTACAAGTTAAAGTACTTTAAGAAAGAGGTTCCACCAACTGTCTTACTATACTTTGATTTTAGTTATTTAAAAACAATTAGTGTTTGACAGCACAGGAAATACATTTTGCATATATTACTACATTTACAATAACATTAGCAGTAGATACTATTTATAGAATTTATTTCATTTAGTTCACCTTGCAAGCTGGTTGGCTAGTTCTTGTTTTAAAGATGCAAAAGCTGAAGCTCAAAGCAGTTAAACTACTTGGCTGAGTTAGCAACAAGTGAGTGGCATAGTCAGCCCTCAAATCCCACATTCTCCCGGAAAGCACACTCATCTGGTCCTGGATCTAAATTCTCCTGCCTGTCAAATGAGAATGACAATACCAGACATGCTTAAGGCACAGACTGTCTAGCCAGGATCATAGATCAGGTGGGAAATGGTTTTGAAACTTTAAAAGCACTGTATGCAAGTAAAGTACTATTTTTAACTATGGTTCAGTTTATTTTACTTGAGTCAACCACAGAATAGACCTTATTATTACTGGCCTGGAAGAAACAAAAATGTAAATACATAAAACAGTCTCAGTATTTCCATAAAGGAAAATCATGGCAAGAGTTGTTGTAAATTACCCAGAAGCTATGATGATACCTCTGAAAATTGAGAAAAGAAAATATGCGGGTCTAATATGAGAATAAAACATTGACTTCTTAAGAGGCCTTTCAAAACCATCTGTCTCCATAGAAATTTAAACTTGAAAAATCTATAACTTCTCTACACACCCACACACACACACACCCCATTCTGTGGTCATCCTATCATTAAAAAATACATCAAGTAACAAATACCTCTGGATGCCCCTCCAGGTAACATTTATTTCAGAACATTTGGGAGGACTGAGAAGTAGTAGGCTTAATTTTACTTATAAACTCACCCAAACGGTCATCTTTTAGGAGAATTTCTAATGATTTCTTTTCTTCAACTCCACGAAAACCCACTTTCTCATAATATACTGAACGAAAGTTTCTCTGAGAATCCTCAGTCATGTTTCATTCTTGGAGAAGGGGGGAGGGAGTTTAGAAACAAAGAACGAAGAATTAAAACTTTTCAGTGATTTCCTCCAACTTTTCAGTGAATCTGATATAACAAACTGCCTTTGCATGGGACTCAATATTAAATCTTTCCTTTCACACAACTCTACCACCACCTCACCTATGCATCTGGCCAAAAACCAAGACATAAAAAGAGCATCCTGAGTTGCTAAAATAGATGGCACAAGGCTCAAGGCCTAGGGATGCTATTTTACTTATGAGAGCACCTAGCCATACCACATGTTCAAAGAAAAAAAATGAAATAGGAAGACAAGATGTCACACAAAAGATGTTACCAAACATATACACTATGATTCTGTTGTTTTATAAAACTATGCACTAAAAAATTAGACTATATTCTGAAATGTTAGCAATGGTTATCTTTAGGTAGTGGAATTCCAGATGATTTTAAATTTTCTTTTGCTTAGCTGTGTTTTCTAAAATGGGCATTTTGTAAAATGAGAAAAACTAAGCTATAAAAAGCTGCAAATCCTTCACTTAGTTTTCCTTTAAATGCCATTCTACCAAAGGTAATTATCAAAATTCAAAATCCATAAAGCTTAACACCATTAAATGATAAACCTGAAGAGGGGCAGGAATGTAGCTGGTTGATAAAGAGATGGCATTAAGTTGGAGATAGAACAACAATTTATGATCTGCCTTCAGAACTCAAAAAGTTTAATAGTCTTAGGTTCTTTCACAATAACCTTCCTAGGATTGATGGCAAGTCATCAGAAAAAGGTCAAATTGGGTTGCTGTTTTAAGAATATAGTGGATGCAATGCATTTTCCATAGAAGTTACTGTACTGCTCAACCCAAATGCTTCAAATGTGAGTGCAAACAAGAACATAAATAATCCTCAGGTTTCAGAAATTCTGGCACAGGAGGGTTGAGTTCCACACAGCCAAGGTCTTCCTTATAAAAAAGATATGCTGAGTCAATGCAATCACAGGAAAGATTAGGATTTGCTTAAAATGAGAAATTCTAGAAGGTTCCGACCTTTGCGGACCAAATGCTCTTTTAAGGACAAAATGTCAAAGCATTAAAACCCTAATTGAATTTGGAGGTTTGTTTAAAAGAAGCATCCAAATAGCTACACGGCGATAGGTGTCTGTGGTCTAGAGAAACCAGGCTCCGGCTGCACCACGGCAGGGGCGTCCAGGAGGAAATACTGCAAATCGCATTCCAGCCCTGGACCGTGCAGCTGGCGGGCACCTCAACACCTGGCCTCGGACCCCGTCCCATCTCTCTGGCTCTTCACCTCCAGCGGTGGAAACCCGGGCTGAGACCAGGTGGTCCGGGGGAGGCCGCGGAAAGCAGGCTGGGGGCGCTGACCGGCGGGCAGGCGACGAGGGGGCGGCCTGGGGACCCGGGCAGCACGAGCGGGCCCGCGGGGCGGAGAGAAACGGCGGAGCACCAGCGTCCCGGCGCGGCCCAAGCAGGAAACACCCTCCAGCCGCCGCCGCCGCCGCCGACTCCGCCCTCAGCGGACGTGACGTCACTCAGCCCGCCCTTCGGTGCCGAGAGTGCGCGTGCGCGGAGAGCGTGCGCAGAAGCTGCCGCCACACTGCGCGGGGCTCTGACGTCCCCGGCGCCGGGCACGTGAGAGAGCGGAGGTGGCCAGTGTTCCCGGACGCAATCCCCGGCCCCTCTTCCCCGCGCCCACTCCTCGCCGAGGACCTCTCTGTCCCAGCGGGGCGTGCCCGGTGCTCTCCCCTCCCTCGCCCTCCAGGTCCCTGCCCGGAGGCGCCCGCCGCACCCCAGGATGGTACTCATGGAGCTAAGCTGTCTGCGAGAGACCCTTTGGTTGTGGTTTTGGTTTTTCTTAACTTTTTTTTTTTTTTTATGGTATGTGGAAATAAATGAAGACCAACCCCAAGTGCAAAGCCACTTTATTCAGAGTTTGCTATCCCATCGCTTGCATTTTGGCAGACTGAAAGGCTGGCAGAGGAGTGGGAGGGGTTGGCAGTGGGAAGAAGGAAGGCGCCCTGCCAGCCTGGCCCAGTGGCGGAGCTTGGACCTGTGAACCAGGAGGTCACGGTTCGAGTCCCCGTCAGGGCACACGTTGGGCTTGTGAGCCCCATCCCCAGTGTGGAGCCTGCAGGAGGCAGCTGATGGATGATTCTCTGTCATCATTGATGTTTCTCTCTCTCCCTCTTCCTTCCTTTCTGAAAACAATAGAAATGTATTTTTAAAAAGGAAGAAGGGAAGGCTTCAGGTGTGCCTTCAGTGGAGGCTGTGGGCCTGGGGAAGCTGTAGGTAGACCTGTTGGAGGCAGGGCAGCTTATGCCATTGGCTAGCCATGTCTGGCTTTCTCTGGTTCTAAACTGGAAGCTGGGACAACAATTAGGGCAGCTGAGAGTTACTAATCTTGTTCTGGCCGTTTGGAGCCACCTGCCAGAGAAGTTACTGTTTAGCTTCCTGGGTTGGTACTAAAGCTGGCAATCTGGCTTTCCGAAAGTTGAAGGCTGCCTTTCCAGGCTATCATAGATAAGAGGTGGTTTTCTGGGCAGACTGCTGCTTCAGGCTGTGGGTCAGAGTTCTGTACATTCAGTCTCTCAAGTAAAACACTATAAAAATAAATTATGTGAATAATGAAATTTAAAAATGCAATATACTAAATATAAGCCCAAATTTATTGGCTTCAGCAGACATAAAATTACTCTTTAACATGGCTATTAAAGTTTAGAAATACTTTCAATTTTTTTTTTCTTACCTTGTTACCAACTAGCACTAGTTCTGAAACATTCCTCTGAACAGCACTGCCTGAGTGGGTTTTTAAACCACTGAGATTTAAGAGAAATCCCCTAGAGCCATGGTTGGCAAACTGCGGCTAGTGAGCCACATGGAGCTCTTTGGCCACTTGAGTGTGGCTCTTCCACAAAATACCACAGCCTGGATGAGTCTATTTTGAAGAAGTGGCATTCGAACAAGTTTAAGTTAAAAAAAAATTGAACTCTCAAAAGAAAATTCAATCATTGTACTGTTAATATTTGACACTGTTGACTAATGAGTTTGCTGACCACTGCCCTAGAGAAAAGTGATGGATGCTGCCTCCTTAAAAGCCCAAACACGTACAGAACAGACGATACAGAGGCAAGGCTCTGGAGAGAAACTTAGAAATCAACAGTACAGAAAGTCAGTCCAGTTACCATGTTGTCAAGTTTGTGGTGTAATGGCTAGACAAAACTTGAAAATAAAGAAGTGGTTGAAATCACACATCATGCCCCTCGAAGTTTCCCTACCATCACCTTCTTTAGTTCCCCGGCACTAGGGCACTAATCCTCTGGCTGTGTTTCTTCACATGTGGAAGTGGAGCTCTTCAAGTTACAGCTTTTTCAAATTCCATGTTCTTAATCCACACCTCGGACCAGTCAAAAAATGTTACTACCTCCTTTTTCTTGTCTTTAAAACAAAGCTAGTAGGGGTGACAGTACCGTAGAGGTATTGGAAAGACTAAAGATTTGCAAAGCACTTAGCACGGTGAGAATATCTGAATTCACTGCTGCAAGCTAAATTATGACAGAATATGGTTGCCTTTAACTGAAATTCTGCTTTTTTAAAATTTATTGGGGTGACATTGGTAAATAAAATTGTATAAGTTTTAGGTGTATAATTCTGTAATACATCATCTGTATATTGTATTGTGCTCACCACCCCAAGACAAATCTCCTCTCATCAACATTTATCCTCCCTTTACCCTCTCCTACCTCTCCCCAACCCCCTCTCCCTCTGGTAATCCATACTGGTGTCTGTCTATGAATTTTCTTTTTGGCTTAATCCCTTCACCTTTTTCACCCAGCCCTGCAACTCCCCTCATATCTGACAGCTATCAGTCTGTTCTCTGTGAGTCTGTCTCTATTTTGTTTGTTAATTTATTTTTTTCATTAGAATCTACATTATTAGTGAAATAATATGGTATTTGTTCTTCTCTGACTGGCTTATATCATTAGCATAATATAATACTCTCCAGACCCATCCATGCTATTGCAAAAGGTAATGTTTCCTTTTTTTACAGCCTAGTAGTCTGTGCTTTTTGGTGAGCTGTTAAATAGAATAGTTGGAAGTTTTTATAAGAGATAAGTCTCTTGGAGACTATTCCTAAAACTGCAGACAGAGTGACCCTTTAAAAATGTTTCCTCTGCTCAAAATCCTGTGAAGGTTCTGCATTTCACTCAGAGTGAAAAACAAAGTCTTTTTTACCTCAACCTCATCTACTACCAGGGACGCTCCTGTCTCATGTTTGTTCACTCTGCCTGAAATTCTGTTCCCCCAGAGCCACATGGTCTATTCCCTCACCTCAATTTTGGTTAGAAGTCCCCTTTCTCCATATCTTGCTCTGTGCATCTCTCCCACCTGCATCTGGCTGTTCCTGAGTTATATCCTTTTGTAATCTATTGGTAATCTAGTAAGTAAAATATTTCTGAGTTCAGTGAGCCATTCTACCAAATTAATCAAACATAAGGAAGCCATTGGAACCTACAATCTATAATGCTGGGTTGGAAGCGCAGGTGACAACATCGACTTGCAGTTGGATTTTGAAGTGAGGGTGGGGGGAGCAGTCTTGTAGGACAGAGCCCTTACTATATGGAATCTGATGGTCTGTCTGGTAGAGTTAAATTGTAGGACACCCAACTGGTGTCTGAGAATTGCTCAGTGGTGTGGGGAAACATGATACATACCCCTCCCCCAGCATACATGAACACATCAGAATTGGGTGACATAATCTTAGCTGAAATCATGAAACATTTTCATGAAATTTAATAGAAATAAGAATTTTTAAAGTCACGGTGATACCAAATTCAGGTTCAGCTTCCTGCTGCTTAAAAGTCAGGACTTAAGCCGGGACCGGTTTGGCTCAATGGATAGAGCGTCGGCTTGGGAACTGAAAGGTCCCGGGTTCGATTCCGGTCAAGGGCATGTACCCTGGTTGCGGGCATATCCCCAGTAGGGGG